TTATTTAATATTTATAATTATAATAAATAAAACATAAGTAGAGGAATTATTACACATCAGATTTTAATTTTCTAATCTTTTTTAATCTCCTTCTTATTGCTTGTAAAACATTATAGTGTTATAAAAATACTAGTACTGATACTTGTTAAAGTAATATTGTGATGTAATTTATCATGATTATTATGTTGTTATATCACAAACCCTAATCCAAATGATCCAGAATTTAACTCTTGGACATGTTATATTTGGTTAGAATACACATATTCCACAGCCACAGATATATAGACAGCAATTTATCTTACGGCTTTGGGTAATTCTTTCAGTATTTCACCTTTACCACATAGCTGGTTATTGTGGGCCAGCTGCATGATGAAGCGCAATGAGATTCAGCAGTTCAGTTAATTAATATATGACAGTTGGTGAAATCATGACTGTCAATATGGCTGCCTAGTCACCTGGTTCTGAATTCTTGTTGTGTGTTTAAACATGACTAAGTCTGTATTTTATTTTATGTTATTTTATGTTATGTTATTTTATTTAATTTTTTTTTTTTTAGGGGTTTATGCGTTCAGTAAATTGGCTTTATAGCCTGCAGGGTGCACTGTTGTGCAGATTATTGGTGCAGACCCTTCCTGCATCTTCTGCTATTCGTTTTACACAAACGAACACATTCAAACTATCTGAGTGGTTTGTTTTGTAAAACACCTTAACAAACTGAAAACACACCACACGCGCAAATAAATAAATAAATAAATAAATAAATAAAAAGAGCACAGCAAATCTAATACATAACAGCAAAACCAGAAACACCACAACAAAAGTGAAAACTAAACAACAAAATTTAGAAACACATCAACCTTAACACAAAACAGAAATTTTAAGTCCTGATTAAATATCATATTGCTGATTGGCTACAGTGCATTTCAGTCTGAGAAACCATGGAAAACAGAAACTTGGAAGATGTCTACCATAAGAGACAATAAATATGAAATTTGTTAATATGAGTAAATTAATTTACTGATGCTTTTATTTATGCATATTTTTCAAGGATATCCATATGTTGTTATCTTACATATGCTTTAAACTTTGCACAACATTAATATGAGCATGCAAACACTGATATAATGAAGTATTAATCATTATAATAAGAAAAGTACTCACAGTAATCACATTAAATCATTAAATCATTCTTGCTAGTGCTTTGCACATAGTCACCAGTATTGCCATGTTTATTTTAGTTTTTTTTTTTTTTTTGCCACAGCTTGAGCGTTTTGCATACAATAATTAATAATTATTAATTAGAATGTGCAATAGTCGATTTTTTTATTAATAGTACAAATAATATGCAAAAATATGTAGAACTAATAAAAAATAATGGTTTAAACCATGCCTCAGCACAAGTGTGTTATGTGGCTGAAAAAACCCATTTAGAAAACTGCTTTCTGGTCTAGAAGGCTTGTTTGTGTTTAGATGGGCCTCCTGTCCATCATTTTATAGACACTCTCCAATGCCCCTTCACTCCGGCCTGTCTCAGTCTACAATCAGCAAGTGCCCAGTGCAGCCAGGTAATTCTCCTATGAGCAAAAAAAAAAAAAAAGGCACTCTGTGCTTCAAAAAAACTTACTGACAAGAAACACAGTAAAACCATATAAAAGTTCTTTTCCAAGATGGAGTAATTTATTACTGGTCAGGGAGGTGAAGCTGGACACAGAACTAGTGACATTGCAAAATAACTCTGATGCTCATATTCATAAGTTTCTGGCTACACAATTTCACTTTTTGACTATGTAGTGTACGGTTATAGAAGGGAAATTATTTACAATCGCACTAACCATTGTCACCCAGATGAGGATGCCCTTTTGAATCTGATTCCTCTCAAAGTTTCTTCCTCATATCATCTCAGGGAGATTTTCCTTGCCACCGTTGCCTCTGACTTGCTCATTTGGGATAAATTTATAAATTTTTATACAATCAGGTCTATAAGCTTGCCCCTGTACACCACCACAATGGATTTGAAATGAAGAAATCAAGATGTGATTAAAGTGCAGCTTCAATTCAAAGGGTTTCACAGAAATATTGCATTAACCGTTTAGGAATTACAGCCATTTTTTAAAGAGTCCTTCCATTTTCACAGGCTCCAAAGTAATTGGACAATTGACTGATAAGCAGTTTTATGGCCAGATGTGGCCTGTTTCCTCATTATTTCATGACAAATTAAGGAGATAGAAGGTATGGAGTTGATTCCAAGCATTGAATTTGCATTTGATAGCTGTTCATGGGAACTCGCAATATGCGGTCCAAAGAGGTGTCGATGCAAGTGAAGGAGGCCATCATTAGGCTGAAAAAACAAAACAGACCTATCAGAGAGATAGTAGAAGCTTTAGGAGTAGCCAAATCAACAATTTGGTAAATTCTTAAAAATTAGCAAAGCACTGGCGAGCTCAGCAACACTAAAAGGCCGGGAAGGCCACAGAAGACAACTAAAGTGGATGATCGCAGAATTCTTTCTTTGTTGAAGAAAAACCACTTGACAACAATCTAGCCAAGTCAAAAATGCTCTAGAGGAGGTAGGCGTATCATTGTCAAAGTCTAAAATCAAGAAGTGCCTTCATGAATGTAAATACAGAGGGTTTACCTCAAGATGCAAACCACTGGTAACAAGCAAGAACAGAACGGCTAGATTAAACTTTGCTAAAAAAAAAAAAAAAAAAAAAAAAGCAATTCTGATGCAAGATTAACTTGTACCAGAATGATGGGAAGAGAAAACTATGGAGAAGGAAAGGAAGGGCTCATGATCCAAAGCATACCACATCATCTGTCAAACATGTGGTAGCAGTGTTATGGCATGGGAATGTAGGGCTGCCAGTGGAACTTGATGATGTGACTGCAATTTATTGATGTTGTGATTGATGATGTGACTGCTGAATTCTGAAGTGTATAGAGCTATACTTTCTGATCAGATTCAGTCAAATTCTACAAAACTGACAAGAAGGCACTTCACAGTACAGATGGATATGGACCCAAAACGTACCCTGAAAGCAACCCAAGAGCTTCTTAAGGCAAAGAAATTAACTATTCTTAAATATCTGATGACCTCAACTCAATTGAGCATGTTTTTCACTCACTGAAGACAAATCTGAAAGCAGAAAGTCCCACAAACAAGCAACAACTTAAGGCAGGTGCTTTAAAGGCATTTGATGAAGTCCATGAGTTCCAAATTTCAGCCAGTCATTGACTGCATCCAATTATTAAAAATAATCGTAATATTTATGATTGTTAGTTTGTCCAATTACTTCTGAGCTTGTGAAAATGGAGGGACTGTTAAAAAATGGCTATAATTCCTAACAATGTCCATTGTTAAATGTAAAATTGAATTGAATTGAAGGAGTTAAAAGATTGTTCAAATCTTATTCAACTCCACCTGTTTAACCTTTAGAGAACTAATCTTGCCAAATTATGAAAAAATATCTTGCCTGGTGCACCTTTAAATCTCTGTTATAATATCTTCTATGGGCCATGTGAAGTCTCCTTTCATATGTGCACTGCATTCTTAGGATTATATTCTACCCTTAGACAGTGTTGCTATATTAAAACTGTCTGTTCTAATAATCAGAAAGCACACAACAATCAAATCTCCAAACATGAGAGTGAAACATCTGTCTGTTGGACAAGTTTTAGAAACAGAAAATGTATAAATATAAGACAGGGACATTATTAGTCCACATTATATGTATGAGTTTTAAAAAGGACTAGAAAGAGAGTGGTTTCGTCTGAGTGTATTATTCTGCCCTGTATCACAGCAGTTTGAAAAGATGCCGTTGGCTGGCTTCACGTGTTACAGTGCCGCCTAGTAGTATTGGCACCCTTGACGTTTATGTACTTAAAGTTAAGCATCTCCTGAACAAAAGTGATGTAGTGATGCAGAATTTTTCTACAGATAGCTTGTGGTTAATATAAAAGAGCAAAGTATCAACAAAATAAAAAAAAATAAACAATTAGAGTGAGAAAAAATGAAAAAGGTAAATCTTCCTGTATCACTAGTATTGGCACCCTTTGCTGTTAGTCCTAA